GCAGCCAATCTCGCCCCAACAGCACATCACAGCCATCCAACGTCGTCGCCAACATCTTCATGCCAAACCCGAATTTTTCGCCACATTTGATCCGAATTCTTCGCGCTTCATCCCGGATGGCCAGTGGTGTCCCATCCACTAGCCTTGCATCGATCTCCGGCAGACACCTCGTCAGCTTCACCCCAATTTTTTTGGCCGTTGCCAGGTTGACGAGACTGTGGCTCGCCCCTCCGTCAACGAATATTTTAATTTTATAACCGTTAACCCTCCCCACAACCAGCACAGGGTAGTCCACGTGTTCACCCACGTTATTCGTCCGGTTCTGGTCGATAGCTCTGATCGGTACCACGACCCGGTGTGGATGGTGATTGTCGGGCGACAGGGTCTCGTCAGTAGGTGGCCCTTCTGCTACTGACTCAAATATTTTCCCGACCCTTCTCCGTCGTTCTTCTTCCCCTGCTTAAGCCTCGGGCAGTCTTTTTTCAGGTGGCCCAGCTGGTTGCATAAAAAGCACGGCCCAAGGGCTCGGCTTGGCGCATCCACGCCGTTGATCGTGGGCTGCTGGGTCGATCCACGAAATCGAGGGCCCTCCCGGGAGCTCAATCTCGCCCACTGCATCAGTGCATCCGTTGACTCGGCTTCTCGAACGGCGTCGTTGAAGCTTCGTGGCCGGGTTCGTCGGACTTCATACTGGATTTCATATTATAAACCTGCCACGTAGCGATCCAACCGTTCCGCGTCGCTCATATCATCCACTTGATCCGCCAAGTTGCAGAATACACTGGTGTAGTCTTGGACCGAAGCCAGCTGCTTCCAGGCACGCAGCTTCATGCGAGCAGAATCCGAGGCGGATATATGCTCGAATCTGGTTCGCAAGGCGGCGCCCCACTCCCTCCATGTGCGTATCGTGGCCGTCCCAAAAATCGATGCTGCCTGATGCGTGACAGGTGTTGAAGTCCCGTCGTTCGCACGTGCTGCTCCTGCCGAAGTCCCTTCGTGCTGCAGCGTTCGCCTCCACCACTCCAGCGCAGGTCCTCGCAATAGTGAAACTACGAAATTAATGCGGGTGGCATCGTCATTAATCATGGCAGCATTAAAAAACACCTCCACGCCGAACAACCATGCAGAAACATGACAAAGTTAGGAGAAAGAAAGAGGAAAGGGGATTGAACTAGCAAGAATGAGGATACAAATAGCAAACCCTAGAAAGGTTGTACTCGCTACAGAGCACCCCACTACAGGCTAGAACATAAGATAATATTCTGACACACCCCCATAGCCAAAGTGGGGTGTAATCAGCAGAGCAGGCAAAGCAGTACAAGCTCAGGGTGGATCACAATGTCACCACACAATCTGAGCACAAGTTCAAGAAGAAATAGTTTAGAGTTCACAATTATGAGCAAAGCTAGTGGTAGTCACAACGGGCAAGTGAGGAGGAGGAGAGAGAGTGAGGGGAGAGGAGATAGGAGGCGACGGCTGAAGCTGCAGACACACGGGCAACAGGAGGCAGACTGGCACAGCGGCTACCGGACAGCGCCCGGACTACAGGAGTAACAGGCCCCGCGGCTCAAGTAGCGGCAGACGGGCAACGGACCCACGGGCGGCTGGCGTAGAAGTCTAGCTCACTGGGCTACCGGGACAGCGCCCCGGACTACAGGTGCTGCTGACGACAAACTGGCAACCTCCGCTCATCCTCCCGCACACAGTCCCACCCCCCTGATACACACCCGCTGCTACACCGCTAGCTCCACTCCCACGCACCCCCCTTAAACCCTAAACCCCAGTCTCCCACACAACCACCCCCCTCAGCGACAGCTGCAGCAGTGGGAGACGAAGGAGGAGGAGGAGCAAAGGGAGGAAAGCACACCGGCCACCCTCATACCCGCCACCCCACAGCTCGCCACCCCATAAGCAAATGGGGGGGGGAGGAGGGGGGGGGGGGGGGGGGGGGGGGGCGCGAAGTGGGGCGGCGGGGCCACGAAGTGGGGCGGCGGGGCCGCGACGGGTCGGTGGCGGGGCCGCGACGGGTCGGTGGCGGGGCCACAACCGGAGTTGGCGGGGCCGCGACCGGAATTGGCGGGGCCGCGACCGGAGTTGGCGGGGCCGCGACCGGAGTTGGCGGGGCCGCGACCGAAGGCGGCTGGGCCGCGACGCGAGGCGGCAGGGCCGCGACCGGAGGTGGCGGGGCCGCGACGGGTCTGTGGAGGGGCCGCGACCGAAGGTGGCGGGGCCGCGACCGGAGTAGGGCGGCGGGGCCGCGACGGGTCCCCGTCGCCCGTCGCGACGCCTCCAGAGCGGGACGCGGCGAACGCCGCGAGGCAGACGCCCGCCGCGCGCCTCGGGGCGCACAGCGGGCAGAGAACCGCCGCGCGCCTCGGGGCGCACGGCGGGCAGAACTAGCAAGAATGAGGATACAAATAGCAAACCCTAGAAGGGTTGTACTCGCTATAGAGCACCCCACTACAGGCTAGAACATAAGATAATATTCTGACAAAACAGTGACGAACTTGTCACTTGGGTTAAACGGGGGCGGGTTCGTCGGCTTGATTTTGACAAAAGCCGTTGTTGCCATCGGGGCCGTTGGTATTGCTGTCTGCGTCGCCGTCGTCGTCGTTGCTGCATGTGTCGGTGCTGCACGCGACTGTTGCGGCTGTACCTGGCTCGCCTCATCCGCATCCATCTCGCCTTCCAGCTCGCTCCAGACCCGCTCATCTGGTGCAGTGCTGCTACTTGCGTCGTCCACAACAGGCGACTCCCGGCGCGCTTCACCACGCGCCTGGTGTAGTTCGGCGTTTTCTGCCCTCAGGCGCTCCAACTCGTCAGACATAGTCTGCATGTTGGTCTGCATCGCCCGAAACTGTTGCATGAGCTCGTTGAACTCCGCCTGGTCCATATGTCGCAGGCTTCGTCTAACGGGCAGGGGGTGACTAGCGATTTTTCTGACTTTCGTGAAGGCGTTAATGCTATCGTAGTCGGAGTGGAATAATCGGATCTATTCCACGGGCCGACCGCTTAACAGCCCACCAAGTCTATCGCTCCCCTTCTACAAACTACCCCGGAAACGCGAGGGTAACCTAGGAAAGTAGCTCTGATACCAGGTGTTATGAGTTGTATGAAAGAAGAGTGCGCAGAATTCAATATCGCGGAAGTGATTACAACTACTGAGAGCACAACGAGGCCTAGGACTAATATAGCGAGGCTAGCTGGGCCGAGGTTGTAGGGTCGCAGGATGGCTGGGTGCAGGTCCGGGGTTGTGGAACCCGAAAGCGACGCGATAGTGGTTCGGAAAGCGAGGTCGTCGGACCGAGCCTGGTTTTCCGAAAAGTCAGGTTTGTACGCGTACAGTGTGACCCAGTAAGGAATCCGAAAAATTCCTTACAGTGGATGTTGAAGGGGAGGAGGTAAAGAGGAGCCAGTTTGGTGTGGAGTTTCCACACAGTAACTTGTACCAACAGATGGTTCTAGAGACAGCCTAGAGTATACTGCTCGCCTAAATTGGTGAACAACATGAGATGTATGTTGAATAAATGAATGAAGGTGTTGCTGATGCTGACCAGCGGTGTGTCTCAATCCCTTGGCACTGCCCTAACTCTACCCAAGACTAGTGGTGTTGTCTCTGCCCTAACACCAGAAAATGGTACCCGGTACAAATCTGTGCCTGCCTGCCAGTCCTATTGTTAAGATACGTGGTGCATTTGCTGCTGGTGCTGATGGCTGTGGGTGCCTACTGTTAGCAGGCCCCATCCTGCACCAGGTAGAGCGCTTGTTACATTACACCTGCTGCTGAGGAAGGTTAACCCGTCTGTGACCGCCTACCTTCCAATGTTACATGACCTGGACTCTAGCCCCAGCTGCTGCGGGCTGTTCTTTGGAATGCCCAGGAACCCCCTGCTGCTGCTCATTGTCCTTGGAATGCCCGAAAACCCCTGCTGCTGCACGCTTTACTCCCTCCAGCTGCACCCCTGCTGTCGTGTAGTAATGGGAGCTCAGGTAACTGTGACACACACTTCACCAGCATCACTGAATGGTAAGTAGGACCAGTCAACAGGCCCGTTGACTGAAGAATAACAAGAGATTGGCTTCTCGGTATAATACCACGCTGGCTTGCTTGCTTGCACGGGGTAGTTGCAGGCAGCCCCCTTCCCCCTCCCTCTTTTTGTGTTTTGACGGCATAACACACCGGTCCGTCACATGTGGATGGCGAATTCGCACGTGCAACCGACGATCCGCGTATGATGAGGCTACTTTCCAGGCCCTTTCCAGACTACGTCTCAAAACTGAGGCTATTTTTTCCGGCACTGGAATGAGAGCCTCACCACACGCGGACTCCCCGTCACAACCGAATGGCAACGTTCAGCCGGCCAGAGCCCTTGGGCACATCGAAAAAGCGCTCCACTTGCTGGCCCCTGAAGGACACTCTCACCCGGTACCTGGTGGGAGAGATGTGAAGGGAGGGGCGTGGAGGCAAGGTAAACTGGATGGTAACGTTCAGCCGGCCAGAGCCCTTGGGCACATCGAAGAAGCGCTCCACTTGCTGGCCCCTGAAGGACACTCTCACCTGATGGGAATGATGGCAGGGACGAGAAGAGATGAGTGAAACAAAGAGAAGAGTGATCAGATGAGTGAATGTTCTGGGCACATCAAAGAAGCGCTCCACCTGCTGTTTCCTGAAAGACACTCTCACCCGGTACCTGAAGGGAGGGGTGTGGATGAGATGAGTGAAACAAAGAGAAGAGTGATCAGATGAGTGAATGTTCTGGGCACATCAAAGAAGCGCTCCACCTGCTGTTCCCTGAAAGACACTCTCACCCGGTACCTGAAGGGAGGGAAGTGAATGATGTGAACCAAAGAAAAGAGTGAGACGATTAATGAACACCTTGGGCAGATATTAGGGCTTCTCCTGCTGGCCTCTCAAAAGGACCCTCATTTAGCACCTGAAGGGACTAGAGTTGCGGATTGTTTTGATTCTGCATTAGGAGGATACCTGCTGAACCACCTACCTGCCGCGCAATGCTGAGCCGCCCACTTGCCGTAGAAATGCTATGAAGGAGCAGTGGAGAGGAGGGGGAGGGGAGGGGGGGGGCGCGGGGCGCCGGGCTCGTTATGCAAAGTGGGTGCGTGGCTTGACCAAATACACTCTCTGCCATGCCATCGGACGCTGAGCAACACTAAATCTGAACCCTACCGCTGGCGCAATGGTTCACCAAGAGTCGTTTTTTTAGTCGACTCAAAAACAGACTCATCACCGTTGGCGGACAGGAGTGGTTCACCAATAGGAGGAACGTGAGCGTGCGCCTACCTACCTGCCGTGAAACAATGCGCGGGGATCAATGTTCATCGTGGAGTACAATGCGCGGGGATCAATGTTCATCGTGGAGTACAATGCGCGGGGATCAATGTTCATCGTGGAGTACAATGCGCGGGGATCAATGTTCATCGTGGAGTACAATGCGCGGGGATCAATGTTCATCGTGGAGTACAATGCGCGGGGATCAATGTTCATCGTGGAGTACAATGCGCGGGGATCAATGTTCATCGTGGAGTACAATGCGCGGGGATCAATGTTCATCGTGGAGTACAATGCGCGGGGATCAATGTTCATCGTGGAGTACAATGCGCGGGGATCAATGTTCATCGTGGAGTACAATGCGCGGGGATCAATGTTCATCGTGGAGTACAATGCGCGGGGATCAATGTTCATCGTGGAGTACAATGCGCGGGGATCAATGTTCATCGTGGAGTACAATGCGCGGGGATCAATGTTCATCGTGGAGTACAATGCGCGGGGATCAATGTTCATCGTGGAGTACAATGCGCGGGGATCAATGTTCATCGTGGAGTACAATGCGCGGGGATCAATGTTCATCGTGGAGTACAATGCGCGGGGATCAATGTTCATCGTGGAGTACAATGCGCGGGGATCAATGTTCATCGTGGAGTACAATGCGCGGGGATCAATGTTCATCGTGGAGTACAATGCGCGGGGATCAATGTTCATCGTGGAGTAGCTGCAAAATTACCTACCTGCCGTGAAACAATGCGCGGGTATAACTTCTTTTCCAATGAGTTGCAACCCTACGTGCCATGCAATGCACCGCTGAGCCACCCACCTGCCCTGGAACGCTGTGAAGGAGAGGGGCGAGTTTAGCCGGGATCGCCTTGCAAAGTGAGTGCTCCACTCAGCTCTTAAAGCTTGGTACCTGGTGGGGTGATGGGAGACGGGAGATGGGGAAGGAGGTGGGAGTGGGAGAGGGACAGGGCGAAGGAGGAGGGGAGGGAGGAGGAGAGGAGCAGGAGGAGAGGAGAGGGAAGAGGGGAGAGGGAGGAGCAGAGAGGGAGGAGCGGAGAGGGAGAAGAGGAGATGGAGGAAGGGGGGAGGGAGGAAGGGAGAGGGGAGGAGGAGAGGGGGAGGAGGGGAGGGGGAGGAAGGGATTGGGGGGGGAGGGGAGGGGGAGTTAAGGAGAGGGAAGAGGGGAGAGGGAGGAGGTGAGTGGAAAAGGGGAGAGAAGGAGGGGAGGAGAGGAGGGGAAGGGGAAGAGGGGAAGGAGAGGAGGGGAGGGGGAAGAGGGGGGAAGAAGGAGAGGAGAGAAGAGGAGAGGAGGAGAGTAAAGGAGCAGAGAGGAGAGGATGGGTGGGCGGAAGGGTGGGTGGGAGGGAGAGATGGAAGGAAGAGGTTAGGTGGTGTGGAACAGTATGGTACATAGAGCAGTGCTCGCGAGTACCTTGGTTTGGGAAACGGGCTGAGTTTCATGGTTCGGCCGAGCCAGATCACTCTGCCCAGGTGGGTGCTCCATTCCTTGCGCAGGCGCACAAACCTGGAGAGAGGTGATGGGCAGAGGAGGAACGATGGATGGTGAGGTGTTGGGCAGAGGAAAGATGGGTGGTGAGGTGTTGGGCAGAGGAAAGATGGGTGGTGAGGTGATGGGCAGAGGAGGAAAGATGGGTGGCGAGGTGATGGGCAGAGGAGGAAAGATGGGTGGTGAGGTGATGGGCAGAGGAGGAAAGATGGGTGGTGAGGTGATGGGCAGAGGAGGAAAGATGGGTGGTGAGGTGATGGGCAGAGGAGGAAAGATGGGTGGTGAGGTGATGGGCAGAGGAGGAAAGATGGGTGGTGAGGTGATGGGCAGAGGAGGAAAGATGGGTGGTGAGGTGATGGGCAGAGGAAAGATGGGTGGTGAGGTGATGGGCAGAGGAAAGATGGGTGGTGAGGTGATGGGCAGAGGAAAGATGGGTGGTGAGGTGATGGGCAGAGGAAAGATGGGTGGTGAGGTGATGGGCAGAGGAAAGATGGGTGGTGAGGTGATGGGCAGAGGAAAGATGGGTGGTGAGGTGATGGGCAGAGGAAAGATGGGTGGTGAATGGGGGCTGAAGGGCATTGGGACATGCAGCATAAGACCGAAGGTGGTTGGAATGGGAAGCACTGGCTTGAGATGAGATGGGATACATCTTTGCCATTCGATGGATAAGTGGAGCGAGCTTTTGAAAGCGAGACTCGCTCAGTTATCCATCGCATGGCACTACTGCTGCTGCTGCTTACCTCAGCGGGAGTTGGCTTTCGAGTCGCCTCAAAAGCCATCTTGAAAGTGAAACACGCTCCCTTATCCATCGCATGGCACCACTGCTGCTGCTGGTTACCTCCGTCAGGAGAAGCTGTACTGAGAAAAGATGGTTCTTGTTCCATACGTGGTTATCCTTCAAAATCTTTCAAAAACCAGCTTTTCTCAGCACATCTCCTGACAACGCCAATCCAGATAATGCTGCGACTCTGCTCCAGAACAACCCCCGAAAATTGCAGGGCCAACCGTTCGCCTTCTGTTACACCCGCTCCCAGCTCTCATTGTTTCCCTGCCTTGTCTTCCATCATTTCTTAGTCGACTGTCAAATACCGCCTCCCATCGTACCCGCTTGACTTTTGAGTCGACTGTCAAATACCTCCTCCCATCGTACCCGCGCAAAATTCTCAAGCTCTCACCTTTTCCCCGCCCCGTTATCTGTGAAACTCGAATCCGCCAGGCAAGCGTCACAGGCGTTGCACATGCTCGAGTCAATGTCCTTGTAGAATTCGCACGTGGACCGCCCAGAAGACCACAGCACGGTGCTGTGGCTGAAATGTCACCTCGACTCACACCCGCTCCCAGCTCTCACCTTTTCCCCGCCTCGTTATCTGTGAAGCTTGAATCCGCCAGGCAAGCGTCACAGGCGTTGCACATGCCCGAGTCAATGTCCTTGTAGAACTCGCACGTGGACCGCCCTGCCGACCACAGCACCATGCCCGCCACCGAGGGATGCGAGAAGGCCTCCCGCATCACCGCCTCGAGATAGTCGGCTCGTTGTTCATCCGACTCCACCTCGCTGAAATCGAGCTCTGTCAGCCAGATGGGGAGTTTGGCCATTGCCAGGCGATTCAGGTCGTGCTTCAAGCGAACCTGAAGGGAGAGAAGATGAGGAGAAGGGAGGAGGTGGAGAGATGAGGGCAAGGCCCGGGATACTAGGAGAGCAGAGTCACACAACCTGCCGACCACAGCACCATGCCCGCCACCGAGGGATGCGAGAAGGCCTCTCACATCACCGCTTCCAGGTAGTCCGCCCTTTGTTCATCAGACTCCACTTCGCTGAAATCGAGCTCCGTCAGCCAGATGGGGAGCTTCGCCATGGCTAGCCGGTTCAGATCGTGCTTCAAACGAACATGAAGGGAGAAGATGAGGAGGAGGAGGGAGGTGGAGAGATGAGGAGAAGGAGGGAGGTGGAGAGATGAGGAGAAGGCGGGAGGTGGAGAGATGAGGAGAAGGCGGGAGGTGGAGAGATGAGGGCAAGGCTACACGGGCGGTTCAGGTCATACTTCAAACGGACCTGAAGGAGAAGATGAGTAGAGGAGGTGAGGAAATGAAAGGCAAGCAAGGGTAGGAGGAGAGGGAGTCACACAACCGGCCGATCACAGCACCATGACGGCCGCCAAGGGATGAGCAAAGGCCTCACTCATCAGGGCACCATGCCGGCCGCCTTTTGAGGTGCCTCAAAAGCCGTCTCCTGTTTTGACGCGCCTCAAAAGCCTATGGAAGTACTTTTTTGATGAACCGTCGGGAGGGTGGAGACCGGCGGCCTTTTACATCTTGCCTAAGCTTCACAAGAGAATCCCCGTGGGGCGACCGATCGCAGCCTCACATTCATGGGTGACGACCAACGTGAGCAGGTGGCTGGATGCTGAATTACGACCGCTGGTTCTTAAGAGACAGACCTACCTCCGCGACTCCCTCTCTCTACTGACCACGCTCGAACGGACCCCCTTTCCCACGACGGTCCTTCTTGCTACCTACGACGTCACCTCACTCTACCCCAGCATCTCCATTGAGCGAGGCCTCGAGGCGGTCAATTGTTTCCTATCGAGAGAGAACCCGCAGTTCGCACAACCTCTCATGGCTCTTCTGGGTTGGGTCATGAGGAACTCTTTCGTGGAGTTCAACGGCGAGGTGTTTCAACAGGTTCGAGGTACTGCTATGGGGACTCCAGTAGCTGTGTGCTTCGCCATCCTCTTCATGAGCCGTTTAGACGAACTGCTTAAAGAAAGGTGGACAGGGACGGAACCTTCCTACCACGTGCGCTATATTGATGATGGGCTAATCATATGGCCTGGTACGCGGGCAGATTTGGAGGGCTACCTGCAGACCCTGAATGCGCTTGACCCGAACATTCGGGTTATGTGGACCGTCTCAGAGAGCTCGATCGATTTCCTTGACATGGTCCTTTTCAAAGGACCACGCTTTAAAGAGCACGGGATCTTGGACTTCGGCACCTTCCAGAAGCCGCTGAACAAGTACCTGTGTCTGCCTTTTTCCTCCTTCCACCCACGCCACTGCAAGGAGGGGTTCATTCGTGCTGAGCTGAAACGCTACCTACTTCGTTCGACTTCAGCATCGACCTTCCTCGCTACGAAGTTGGCTTTCTTCCAGCGACTTCGGGATCGTGGTTACCCACCAGCTTTTCTACTCCCACTCTTCAAGCGTGTCTGTTTCGCTCAACGGCCCCACCTTCTCGCCAACATCGCCACCACCCAGTTACTCAAGCAACAGCAATCTCTCTCTCGTCCCGTGGGCCCCTAGTCCTGAAGGCACAGTTCCCTTATCGCAGTTACTCAAGCAACAGCAATCTCTCTCTCGTCCCGTGGGCCCCTAGTCCTGAAGGCACAGTTCCCTTATCGCAGTTACTCAAGCAACAGCAATCTCTCTCTCGTCCCGTGGGCCCCTAGTCCTGAAGGCACAGTTCCCTTATCGCAGTTACTCAAGCAACAGCAATCTCTCTCTCGTCCCGTGGGCCCCTAGTCCTGAAGGCACAGTTCCCTTATCGCAGTTACTCAAGCAACAGCAATCTCTCTCTCTTCCCGTGGGCCCCTAGTCCTGAAGGCACAGTTCCCTTATCGCAGTTACTCAAGCAACAGCAATCTCTCTCTCGTCCCGTGGGCCCCTAGTCCTGAAGGCACAGTTCCCTTATCGCAGTTACTCAAGCAACAGCAATCTCTCTCTCGTCCCGTGGGCCCCTAGTCCTGAAGGCACAGTTCCCTTATCGCAGTTACTCAAGCAACAGCAATCTCTCTCTCGTCCCGTGGGCCCCTAGTCCTGAAGGCACAGTTCCCTTATCGCAGTTACTCAAGCAACAGCAATCTCTCTCTCGTCCCGTGGGCCCCTAGTCCTGAAGGCACAGTTCCCTTATCGCAGTTACTCAAGCAACAGCAATCTCTCTCTCGTCCCGTGGGCCCCTAGTCCTGAAGGCACAGTTCCCTTATCGCAGTTACTCAAGCAACAGCAATCTCTCTCTCGTCCCGTGGGCCCCTAGTCCTGAAGGCACAGTTCCCTTATCGCAGTTACTCAAGCAACAGCAATCTCTCTCTCTTCCCGTGGGCCCCTAGTCCTGAAGGCACAGTTCCCTTATCGCAGTTACTCAAGCAACAGCAATCTCTCTCTCGTCCCGTGGGCCCCTAGTCCTGAAGGCACAGTTCCCTTATCGCAGTTACTCAAGCAACAGCAATCTCTCTCTCGTCCCGTGGGCCCCTAGTCCTGAAGGCACAGTTCCCTTATCGCAGTTACTCAAGCAACAGCAATCTCTCTCTCGTCCCGTGGGCCCCTAGTCCTGAAGGCACAGTTCCCTTATCGCAGTTTCTCAAGCAACAGCAATCTCTCTCTCGTCCCGTGGGCCCCTAGTCCTGAAGGCACAGTTCCCTTATCGCAGTTACTCAAGCAACAGCAATCTCTCTCTCGTCCCGTGGGCCCCTAGTCCTGAAGGCACAGTTCCCTTATCGCAGTTACTCAAGCAACAGCAATCTCTCTCTCGTCCCGTGGGCCCCTAGTCCTGAAGGCACAGTTCCCTTATCGCAGTTACTCAAGCAACAGCAATCTCTCTCTCGTCCCGTGGGCCCCTAGTCCTGAAGGCACAGTTCCCTTATCGCAGTTACTCAAGCAACAGCAATCTCTCTCTCTTCCCGTGGGCCCCTAGTCCTGAAGGCACAGTTCCCTTATCGCAGTTACTCAAGCAACAGCAATCTCTCTCTCGTCCCGTGGGCCCCTAGTCCTGAAGGCACAGTTCCCTTATCGCAGTTACTCAAGCAACAGCAATCTCTCTCTCGTCCCGTGGGCCCCTAGTCCTGAAGGCACAGTTCCCTTATCGCAGTTACTCAAGCAACAGCAATCTCTCTCTCTTCCCGTGGGCCCCTAGTCCTGAAGGCACAGTTCCCTTATCGCAGTTACTCAAGCAACAGCAATCTCTCTCTCGTCCCGTGGGCCCCTAGTCCTGAAGGCACAGTTCCCTTATCGCAGTTACTCAAGCAACAGCAATCTCTCTCTCGTCCCGTGGGCCCCTAGTCCTGAAGGCACAGTTCCCTTATCGCAGTTACTCAAGCAACAGCAATCTCTCTCTCGTCCCGTGGGCCCCTAGTCCTGAAGGCACAGTTCCCTTATCGCAGTTACTCAAGCAACAGCAATCTCTCTCTCGTCCCGTGGGCCCCTAGTCCTGAAGGCACAGTTCCCTTATCGCAGTTACTCAAGCAACAGCAATCTCTCTCTCGTCCCGTGGGCCCCTAGTCCTGAAGGCACAGTTCCCTTATCGCAGTTACTCAAGCAACAGCAATCTCTCTCTCTTCCCGTGGGCCCCTAGTCCTGAAGGCACAGTTCCCTTATCGCAGTTACTCAAGCAACAGCAATCTCTCTCTCGTCCCGTGGGCCCCTAGTCCTGAAGGCACAGTTCCCTTATCGCAGTTACTCAAGCAACAGCAATCTCTCTCTCGTCCCGTGGGCCCCTAGTCCTGAAGGCACAGTTCCCTTATCGCAGTTACTCAAGCAACAGCAATCTCTCTCTCGTCCCGTGGGCCCCTAGTCCTGAAGGCACAGTTCCCTTATCGCAGTTACTCAAGCAACAGCAATCTCTCTCTCGTCCCGTGGGCCCCTAGTCCTGAAGGCACAGTTCCCTTATCGCAGTTACTCAAGCAACAGCAATCTCTCTCTCGTCCCGTGGGCCCCTAGTCCTGAAGGCACAGTTCCCTTATCGCAGTTACTCAAGCAACAGCAATCTCTCTCTCGTCCCGTGGGCCCCTAGTCCTGAAGGCACAGTTCCCTTATCGCAGTTACTCAAGCAACAGCAATCTCTCTCTCTTCCCGTGGGCCCCTAGTCCTGAAGGCACAGTTCCCTTATCGCAGTTACTCAAGCAACAGCAATCTCTCTCTCGTCCCGTGGGCCCCTAGTCCTGAAGGCACAGTTCCCTTATCGCAGTTACTCAAGCAACAGCAATCTCTCTCTCTTCCCGTGGGCCCCTAGTCCTGAAGGCACAGTTCCCTTATCGCAGTTACTCAAGCAACAGCAATCTCTCTCTCGTCCCGTGGGCCCCTAGTCCTGAAGGCACAGTTCCCTTATCGCAGTTACTCAAGCAACAGCAATCTCTCTCTCGTCCCGTGGGCCCCTAGTCCTGAAGGCACAGTTCCCTTATCGCAGTTACTCAAGCAACAGCAATCTCTCTCTCGTCCCGTGGGCCCCTAGTCCTGAAGGCACAGTTCCCTTATCGCAGTTACTCAAGCAACAGCAATCTCTCTCTCGTCCCGTGGGCCCCTAGTCCTGAAGGCACAGTTCCCTTATCGCAGTTACTCAAGCAACAGCAATCTCTCTCTCGTCCCGTGGGCCCCTAGTCCTGAAGGCACAGTTCCCTTATCGCAGTTACTCAAGCAACAGCAATCTCTCTCTCGTCCCGTGGGCCCCTAGTCCTGAAGGCACAGTTCCCTTATCGCAGTTACTCAAGCAACAGCAATCTCTCTCTCGTCCCGTGGGCCCCTAGTCCTGAAGGCACAGTTCCCTTATCGCAGTTACTCAAGCAACAGCAATCTCTCTCTCGTCCCGTGGGCCCCTAGTCCTGAAGGCACAGTTCCCTTATCGCAGTTACTCAAGCAACAGC